CTTGTGAAAGAAATGATCATACCAGGCTAAACTGAGAGAGAATTGGTTACAACACTGCCTGTATAAATATTGCAAAAAACTGTTGAGTTTGTCTTTCATTTGAGCTCCTGATATCAGAAATCTGATCATGTTTTTAGGGAATTACAGGAACCTCAAGTTTCTAATAGGAAATAAAAATAATGTAAGTGAAAGCCGTTAGTGTTCGTGTGTAAATATAGACTAGTAAATGACTTAAGAGCACTTAAAACTCAGCTGATAGTGTGGTTGGAATCAAAATACAAGTTTAGTCTGATATAACTGTAAGTCAGTGTAAATATAGACTAGTAAATGACTTAAGAGCACTTAAAACTCAGCTGATAGTCTGGTTGGAATCAGAATACAAGTTTAGTCTGATATAACTGTAAGTCAGTGTTAATACAGATTAAAAAACATCTTTTAGATCACTTGAAACACCTCTGATAGTCTGGTTGGAATCAAAATACAAGTTTAGTTTGATATAACTGTAAGTCAGTGTTAATACAGATTAAAAAACATCTTTTAGATCACTTGAAACACCTCTGATAGTCTGGTTGGAATCAAAATACAAGTTTAGTTTGATATAACTGTAAGTCAGTGTTAATACAGATTAAAAAACATCTTTTAGATCACTTGAAACACCTCTGATAGTCTGGTTGGAATCAAAATACAAGTTTAGTTTGATATAACTGTAAGTCAGTGTTAATACAGATTAAAAAACATCTTTTAGATCACTTGAAACACCTCTGATAGTCTGGTTGGAATCAAAATACAAGTTTAGTTTGATATAACTGTAAGTCAGTGTTAATACAGATTAAAAAACATCTTTTAGATATCCGAGGTTATTTTACTGGTTTAATTAATTATTATATCCGTACTGGACATCCTGGTGATTGATCAAACTAATTTATTTCTGACCAGTGATCAGTCTGTTATCTGACTTATTTAGATCGTGTTTATTTTGTAGTTTCTTACTTCAAGCCATCTTTCTTATTCAAGTGATTTCATCATAAGTTTAATAAGGTACAAAAAAGAAGACAATCAGGGTTGTAAACTGGTGGAAGAAGAAGAAATAGTCTATACTCTTGGTATTTATTTATTAAAAATGGTTGTAAACTGGTGGAAGAAGAAGAAGAAGTTAAATAGTTTTTTCCTCAGTGTTTCTTGTTTGATAGATATTTTCCGTAGACAAAGAATGTTTGGTTTATATCATAACTTGGTGAGATAAACTGATATTTGTAAAATTTGAAAAAGTTTCTCTACATCAGACCAATAAACCAATATAGATGATGAATCAATTCTAGTCAAAACTAGCTAGAGCCTCAGTCCAATGATAGTAACTATCAGACAAATAGTATTAACCCAGACGCTGGTCTCTGGTTGAGATATCAACTTTCAGAACTAACTAGTAAATAAAATAGATTGATTGAAGTTGAAATGATTGT